TCGTCAATATGCGTTTTTCGCATTGCATTGCTGCAAAAAACGCATAAAAACGTCCGCCGGGCAGAATTGCACAATCATTCACTAGAAAGGGTTGCACAAAACGCATGACTGCGCCAGCTACCCTGGTGCGCGCCGCTATTTATCTTTCTTGCAGAGCTGCATCTCTTTTCCTGCACTACCACTCAGTGGTCAAACCAATCGCGATCCGGGACAACTAAGTCTGATCAGAAGAAATGACAACCCCGCTATTTCTAAACATTCGCTCCTTTGCCACTCCTACAGCAAAATAAAGCACTTGGTTCGGAAGAACTCAAGAAACAGTAAAATTCAAAAACTGGTTTTTGCAACAATTCATTCCGATCAGCACGTTGAAAAAGACCGGAAATTCTAAGTTTTTATCTTGGACTGAATTTTATGAACATGACGTAATTTTGTTTGGAAGACCGCAGTTGAGGATACAGCGAAACTGGGATGTGGTTCCAAGCCGTACGTCTCGAATTATTTATTAAACTAATGTTGTTAATTTTGCTAAAAATTACTGTTATTAGCTTTAATGGCTTCCTCTCCAGAAAATCAGTTTGAATTTTGATCCGAAATCGCAGATAATGATGCAAAACTTAAGCTGGAACGCATCAGGTGCCGGTACGAACATATTTTTTGCACTATACGTGAAGCAATGAGGTCGTTAACTGTATGAGCGGTTCCTGCTTTACATTTACCTTGTGCGCTCACCAGCGTGAATTATTGTAAATTTTTCTTAAAGAAAAGTTAACAAATTCCGTTTAGCGGCCGCTTTTTGAAAATGAACTAGCTGACCAGTGAGTAATTTTCCCGTCAAAACTCTTGAGTGTTCGTAAGTGAGAACCATGCGCATCTGGGGGTTAAGTTTGAAATCTATAAGTTCCACGGAGACAGGGTATATTCTCTTGAAATTTCAGCTTTTTAACCTTCCTGCTTTCCAAGTTAGCAATTTTCTTACCAAAAATTTCCTCAGGCCTGTACGTGACAGCCTCGCACACCTGGAGACTGAACGTGAAATTTTTAAGTCTGACGTGGGCTGGGAACATCGCTTTGAAATTTCAGCTTCCTAGCTTATCTAATTTCCGAGTTGACGGTTTTCTCGCAAAACCTTCATTCGCGAGGCCCAGACATTCGAGTGCAGATTGGTGCCGAGATGCTGAGGTGGTATTTGGCCGGAGAACCCACTGACAAGATTTAAGCGCCGAAGTCTGATTTGTTGCCGAGTTGAAATACCCGGACAGGCAGACAGACATACACACACTAACATACACACATCATGGGTCGCCACAAAACGCGTTTTTGCACTTGCATATATGCAAAAACGCATAGCGAGGTAAAAAAATTAACTCCAGTTTGGTTTGGTCAGGGAGACGTTCCCAAAATTTGCTGTTCTGCAGTAATGGAGCTAAATTATGTATAACAGCCAGAGAAACACGCGATGAGGCACTATCGTGCCGCAATACGTTTTTGCCTGCTCTAAAATCATTTATGCAGAAAGTGTTGCAGATAAAAGAAATGAAGATTGAGTTTTGGTCGCTGTGTAAATCATTTCTCATTTCGGCAAGCACATTTTCTTCTTCGGGTAATTTGGCTTGGTTTTGTGCGCTTTTGCATCTTATGTAGACAAAACCCAAGCTGGAACGCGTCAGGCTAGCCGGTGCGATGTTTTTCTGCACAGTTTCCTGAAGATATTTAATGCCCTGCTAATGCGATTTGTGCTCGTGTTGGTTTTGTTGAGTGTCTTTTAAGCTGATGTTCGTATCCACAAGGAAGTAGTGAATTGTTCCTCTAGTGAAATATAGATGTATACAGATACTTACTTTATGCTTCTGCAATCACTCATAATCAGGGAATATTCACTCAGAGTTGTAGCTTCCTATTCCGTCCGGGCAGAGAGATACGAAGAAAAAGTTTTGGAGCCTGAATTTCGCTGTACCGGTATGTGGGGCAAAGTCCTTAGTGGAGGGTGCTATCGTACGCATAGTGCCGTATGGGACATGCTAATATTGCGGCGCACGAGAGAACTGGGCGTGCTCCGGGAATTAACCTGTAATATTTTGGTCGCCGTTTAGTTTCAGTTTCCTAGCATTTCCAGTTAGACAAACTGTGCAGCGCTATAGTCTGCTACAGCCAGCAAAAACGCATATTGTCGAGAGGCTGTCTGTGTGAGTGTGTGTGTGTGTGCCCAGAAGCGAGTGCATTTTGTCACCCACTTTCATCTTAACAACCAAAAAAGCTGGGGAGCTGAAATTTCGGGTATACGTTCCTACCCGTGTGTCATCCTCCCGTTTTAAGATATTTCCCCATACGCGCCAAGACCCCTCGCAAGGGCTCCCAAAAAAAATATGTTGGCAGGAAACGATTTCGCGAACCAGACAATGTAGAAAGCTGAAACTTTGCAGGGATATTATCTACGCACGTGCGAGCTAAAGATTTTAAACTTAGCTGTCGAGCACCCCAACCACAGCCTCAAGCAGCTCCTCAACCCAAAAATCGTTAAGAAATCGATCGCAATCTGGGCCCGAACTCCAATCGTATATGTAAATGAACACTAGCTAATTTGCATACATGGATTTTTTGACAAACGACCGCTCGAGCAATACTTCCACTTTTAGTGAACTGGAAATCCGCATTTTTTCAAAAAATTCGTATTTGTCATTTCTTCACAAAGCGAGCATTTACCGAAAAAACGACCGAATTTCATGCAAAAAACCGGTAATCATGCATCCCGTGGTCCATGCGGCCTTACAATGTAATACCTTCATCCCAAATGACGCCCTTTCTCCTGCATGCCGGAAGAGGTCAAAGCATAGTGTATTTAGAAATACAACACCACCATATCTGAGGCTGTTTCTGCTGTGTCAGATGCACGTAATAATCGTAAGCACAAGAAATGGGAAAAAAGCTAGAAAAGCTGAAATTCTAGGAGGACTTATGGCCATCGCTGTCATACTACAACCACAGCAAGGAGCCGCCCGAACAGCGATACTCAATGTTCAAGACAGGCTTTCCAAGAAATCTACCTCCTCCTCCTCATCCCCCCCCCCCCCCCCCCCCCCCCC